ATAATTTTTGGTGTTGGCCGACGTCAACAGATAGAATAATGTTATCTTATTAGCTACAGCTGTAAAGATATTGCAAGCCTGAATTCACAGGTCTGGAAGTGAGTATTCTAGGGTGAGTATTCTGTTAGGTGTTGGCAGGTTGTGGTCCTTTCTTCCAGAAGAAGAGCAGCAAAACGAAGCCCAGCACAGGGAAGAGAAGCAGGGCGACATCCTTGGACGTGCACCAGTCCCGTGCACCAGTCCAGCACAGGGAAGAAAGTAGGCTCCCAGGAGGGCGAGCATGTCCAGCAGCATGGCCGTGTGCATGGGCCAAAGAGGCTTGTTGCTTCCAAGTATCATCCGCGAAAGCAGCAGGCGATGACGGTGATGGAAGCCATGAAGGAAGTGGAGTTTCTGTAGAAGAAAGCGTTGTACCGATGCCAGTCGACGTCGTAGAGGACCGGGTTGCCATGATGACCAGGGACGCCACGAAGGCCGCCGAGTTGAAGTAGAAGACGACCTTGTACCGCCCGGGATGCGTCGTCAGGAGGGTCGGGATGAACATACAAAAGTACAGTAAAAAAAGCAGTGTTAGCAAACACATCTGGATTTGCCCAATTTGCTAGCACATAGCAGCGAATGATTTCCCATGAATAAACTGGTTGGTCAATCACAGTAAATTGCCTGAGAACTATTAGAAGGAAGAACTACAAAGTTTAAAGGTGAGACATATCACCTTTGCATCGAATCCCAATGAGCTCATGTACCCCTTGACATCATCTGACAACAAGTAGTTGGGTCCAGGTCAAAATAGCTGAAGAAATTCTCTGCTGGGAATTTCTCTATGGTCAAATTGTCCTATAGATACTTGTAACACATCAGTTGAAGCCTGTCATAATCAGATAATCATCTATGCTTTGGATCTACACATGCCAAAAAATTAAATTGCTAATGTAGACATCATAAAGGAATCCAATACCCGAGAACGCAGATTTTCAGCTTTGTCAACAAGCAGCTCAATCTTCTCACCACCACGGGTCAAGAACCTGAACATCAAAATAGTAATATGGAATTAGGAATAATGTTTGTTGAGGTGTGCCGTCTTTTCATTATAATGCAGAGATGTGTATTTTTCAGATGATTAAATATAGTACCTTCTCAATGTTTTCCATCATAACTCCTTTGACTTGAGAGACTTGACCTTCACCTGGCAAGTTTGCTGACCTCCTCAGTGGTGTCCACACAATACCGCATGTGCTCTTTAAGCTTTGATCTTTATTAATGGTAAAAACAAATAGATGTTAGTCAAGAAAGTCAAGGGATCCAAATGATTGATTGACTGGCTGTGTAAAAGAACAAAGGGGACACACCCTAAACTCCCTGTTCAAGCTGTTCGCTGCAACAAAAGGGATTTGTCGCCAGACTGATTCAACAGTACTACTACAATCTGTTGTAAAAAGCAAAACAATATTTATCATCAACATGTTATAGAGCATTGGTTGATTGATAAAGTAAGCAT